GATGGCCACTGACCCTCAATCTACACAAGATTTAAATTTAAAAGTATACAGATTACAGTACAAACAAGACAAGGAGTGTCAAATAATTTCTAATGTAGCATCTTCAAAATCAGTTTCTAAATTAGATAAAGTTACATATATATTGCCATTTACAATATATATATATAATATAATATTAATTTATTATTTTTACTATATTTATATTATTATTTACTATCCTTGCTATTCATTCAGATGCATTAAATATTTTTAATATTTATTGAGTTGCTTGTCTTCTTTTTTGTTAGTATTGAAGATTTAATCTATGCTCACCTTTAAGGTAAGCATCTACCCTAAAACCTTGCCTTTTCACAAATTTCATTAATGAGAATAAGTTAATAAAATAAAACAGTCATGACTGAAAACTTTTTTTTAGTTCTGCTTCATTATATTATAATTTAGAAACATGTACCTACCATGGCAGTAAATGAATATGGCAGTCATAAAATGTAATGTATCTCACTAAGTCAAGATTCAGTACTAATGGAATATGTCATTTTCTGTTACAAATATGTCATTTTCTGTGCTGCTGACAATATAGGCAGGCCAGATCTCTGAATGACATTCATAGGGCTCAAGGTCAGTCAGTCAGTTGTGTCTGTCTTTTGCCTCCCTAGACTACAGCAGCTTGCAAGAAGTAAGTCAAGCCTCCCCTCTTGGATTGACCTTCACAGTTATATTGTATGCTTTCTGGACCTTTCTCTCAACAAAGTGCTGTCCGTATATTTGCTGGTATTTGAAAGTTATTTAAAAGGGGCAAAGTTCTTTCTTTCAACATTTAGCAATCACACATGGATGCTACTTAAAAAAATACCAAGCTGTAATCACATATTGATTGTAATTCAAACCTACCTATTTACATACTTTATATGAATGTAGATGCCATTATAATATTTTCCCTAAGTATTTTGCTTTTTAGTGTAGTACTTTGTAAAAAGAAATAGTTTAAATGATCATTATCAGATTTTTCCAGTTGAGAAGATGGAAGTAATTAAAAGAGGACACAAGGGATATACAAAGGAAAAGCAGACATGACCAACAGATGGCATTGGAAAGGAAATGTGGAGAACAAGGGAAAAAAATCCATAACCTTCTTCATTTAATTGACTCACTATTAATGAATTGTGTATATTTGTGAATAAACCAGAGAACTGACAGTCTTAAAATTACCAGGGTTGGTTAGATGGGTCTATCTAAATGAGAAAAAATACTCAAAAATATAAGTATACATCTAATAACTCAGGTTTGTGTAGTTCTGGGTGCTTTTTTCTTATAATTTAATTTAAGAACAAGATAAGACAAATCTCTCAAGTCTTGGACAATGAAATTCTCTTGGATATTTTCATATTCCTATAAAAGGATATATTAATTTTAGGTACTCTGACTAGTATAGGCCACACTTCCCTCCCCTCAGAATTTAATATTATGTATTCTACCTGTTGGAATTGACAACATCTTCCAAGTTGGAAAGGACAAAAAAATAAAGTCTTAAGGAAATGAAAAGTGAAACTATAAGTCAGAGAAAGCAGTGCATTTTTTAGGCATCACATATCTTTTTCTTTGATATTCTTTATTATTTTTACACATTTTCCCTCCCTCCCTACTTCTTTCTTTCTTTCCTTTTTTCTTTCCTTCTATCCATCCTTCCTTCCATTTTGAGATACAGTCTAACAATGTTGTCCAGGCTGATCTTAAACTTGTCACTTTTCTGCTTAGCTTCCTGAGTACTGGGATTAAAAGCATGCAACACACATGTCCTTCTTTGTTCAATAATTTACTTACTAGTAACTAGTAAGTAGATTATTTCAAATCAACTACTACATAAAAAATCCACATATTAAGGTTACATTTCTCTAAATAGTGAATGATTTATCTTATACAATGAGAACTGGAATTGGATAATAAAACAAAGCAAGGACCTTTGAAGAATCAAAACCTCCAGGTTAATATCTGTAGTTAAATTAGTAGCTTGTTTGTCCACTGACAAGAAAGGAGTTACAGTGTTTCTCAGAATGACTTGTGAACAGATATCTCCCTGTTCCTTCAAATGATTGCATAGACAAGATTTTCAATTCAATAAAAAATTAAATTTTATGTGATGTCTTTATGATTTTTTAAATGAAGATAATGTTAAAAATAGCTTTATAAATTATTCTATCTTATGAAACACTGTAGTAAGATCTATTGAATTGATTTATTTTGCATTCAAAAACAATGAGAAGAAAACCACTGGACAACCATCAAATATAAGATTATGTTAATGTTGTCAAGTAAAGATACTTTAATTAAGACTTAAGTTTTTCATTTTTTTCATTATGGCTGTCCATAAGGGAAATACCAATCAAAACAACACCGAGATTCTACCTCACTCCAATTAGAATGTTCATAAATCAAGGAAACAAATAATAACAGACACTGGCAAAAATGTGGGAAAAGAGGAACACTATTAGACTATTGGTGCGAATATAAGTGCGTTCAACCATTCTGGGAAGCAGCATGGAAGTTCCTCAAAAAATTAAACATAATGCTACCCTATAATTCAGCATTTCCACTCCTGGGCATTTATCAAAAAGACTACAAATTAAGTTACAATAAAGCCATCAACACAACCATGTTCACTGTAGCAGTATTTACTATAGCCAAAGTATGAAATGAGCCCAGATGCCCTCAAGTGGATGAATAAATGAAGAAAATGTGATATATATATGTATATATATACATACATGATGAGATTTTACTCATCCATTAGAAAGATATGGAAAGTTTGAAATGAAAATTTTACTCATCCATTTTTAAAGAAATGGAAAAAATTATGCTAAATGAAGTAAGTCAGGCCCAGAGAAAAAAATGCTGTATGTTCTCCCTCATATGTGGAAGCTGGAATTAGCTTACAAACTAATAAGTAAATGCATTAAGTGGAATGTTAGTATATTCAAATGCATTAACTGAAATATGGTAGATTCAAAGAAGAATTCAAGTAGTGTAATTCCTTATACTTATAAAGTCAAAATCAAAGTTCAACAAAATGAACACCAGGAAACAGGTACTTGAAAGGGGTAGAGTACGGTTATAGAGAGAGGAGCAGAAGAATAAAGAGAAGAAGAAGGGGAGAATGCAGTCAAGAATTCAATGTATATCCAACAAAATTAAGAAAAGTGAGGGAGGAGGAAGGTTAGAAAAGATAGGTGAGAATATTGAAAGGGGTGTATTTGTAAATTGCTTTGTCAAATGGCAACTCCTTTGTGCAACAAATAAAAATAATTTTATAAAATAAATAAATCCCCTTCTCCTTGGCCTGAAATGCTTAGTCTACCTGACTCCTTAAAAATACATCGTTTTAGAAATGATTGAAATGTCTATAGAAAATATGGCCACATCTGAGAAATTACTTTTCAAAATTTGTAATAGAGGAGTACAATTTTAATAAGACTCAGCATACCATAGTTAAGAATTAGATATAAATTTAGTATACTTGTTTTATACATGCATTGTTAAATACTATCTATAATTTTCCATTTCAAAATAATAGTAAGTTACTATTTGCACATGTATTACAGTTCAAAGGGCTTGTTCTGCTACCAAAGAAGCATATCAATACCATTCTAGATAAATCCTATGTCTGTTTTTGTTCCAAGTTAGCAAATAAAACTAGTGGCAGTGTTAGAAAATAGTTGACTATAATACTTTTATGGATTATATATACTTCCTCATAACTTTGCTAATTCTAACATGCATAGATTGTAACTAAAGATCACATTTATAGTCATTTCTAGAGAACCAATTTACATTTTCATTCATATTCTCACTGCAGGAAAACTAATAACATTGATAACTTAATAGTAAGGTTACCATTTTATTTTCAGCTACATACATTAAAAGTATCTTAATTCTTGAGCTCTTAGTGCAAAAAGAAATTTCTTAACAAAATGAATATAGAACTCAAAATGTATTTTTGATCATGTTATATACCATTCTACATAAAGAAATCAATGTTCTTCAAAATATATATTATAAATACATTTCATTTCTCTATATTTATTTTTGTTATTGTTGTGGTTCTTGTTTTGAGATAGACTAGGTTGGCCTCCAACTCATGATTCTCCTTACTCTATCTCCAGAATGCTGGCATTACAGATACATGCCTGGTTAATTTCATAGTAAAATTCAAATATAAATAACACCTAATGGATTTTAACAGTATATTACATATATTTATACTTAAAAGGAGAAATTTTCTATGACCTGGTTTAACAAATTATACTGAATCTGACAAAATGCAATCTATACTTATCTATTAGATATATACACTATAGTTTTCACTTGAATACAAATGAATATATTTAGCAAATTATGTTTTATCTATGGCCTTTTGTCCAAATTACTAATTCCTCATTATAATGGATCAGATTTTTAAATGCTTTTTTTTTTCTTGTCGGTCATGGGGGCTGAACTCTGGGCCTGGGCGCTGTCCCTTAGCTCTACAGCTCAAGGCTAGTGCCCTATCACTTGAGCCACAGCACCACTTCTGGCTTTTTTCTGCTTATGTAGTGCTGAAGTATCAAACCAAGGGTCTCATGCATTCAAGGCAAGCACTCTACCACTGAGCCACCTTCCAAGCCTGCTTTTTAATCTTAATGATGACATTTATTTAGATGAATTTGCACCTTTCCCCCAAAGTACAGAAATGGCATTTTAATGTATTGATAGGTGTTTTAAGTCAAATAGTTTTATATTCTCTTTTTAAAACAATTCAACCATTAAACATAATACTGCAACATTGTCACTAAAATCTTGAAGTTTTTCTCATTCCTCAATAATGATTTAAGTAGCAATGCCTTGGTCCCAAGGCACACATTAAAGGGAATGAAGTTTATCTCAGAGCATGAGTATACTATAGACTTGTTTTTACTACCAGAATGCATTGAAAAAAGCACATTGAGTAAGATAAAAGAATTACTCACCCAGTTGAGTCTCCTGAATTGTCAGCTTACTTTCCACAGGATACAAAAGCTTAGGTGGCTTATCAGTCAGAGGGGCTGGAAAACAACAATAAAACAATGAAAGACTTATAGTTAGGCTGCATGAACTGAAGGATAGACTACAGTTTCTTTTCTCAAAGATGTTACCATTCTCAAAGTAACATCAAAGCACTCTACCAAATAATGACTTCCATATCATAGGTACGACCTTCAACCAAGCTAAAATGCTATTATTCAATTATACAAGAGTAAAGTATAACACTTCCAGATTGACAGTCAAATAACACTTGAATTACAGAATCAAGATTGGGCTGTCCTGTAGAACATATGGCTATATTTCAGGAAAATAATTTCAATTTGTTTCTCGTTTTTGTTTTAGAGGTGTACCCTGCATTGATGTTACACACAATACATGTGACTCATATTGCAACCCTATTTTCACATACAATGTGTTATTGTCCATAATTACATTCTCAGTTTTCACATATTAGATAATATTGCCTCAAATCAACAATTTAGTAATTATTTCATACATACATATTATCTAAATAGGGAAATGATATGGTATTAGCTTTAATATGAGCATGAGCATGCACATCTACACAAAAGAGGATGTTAAATGATATTTGACTTTTAACGTAAACCATTGGTTACTATTATCTGTTATATGTTATAGTATTTATTGGTGATTTGCCTGATATAGTCTGATTGTAAGGTTCTATACATGTCTGCTCTGTGCTCTTGTCAATTTCAATTATGACCAGAAGAGCTTGCTAGTAAGCATCTTTGAGGAAATATTTCTCATTGCATATTCCATTCTTAGCTAAACTAGACTATTTGAACTTAAGACTAATAGTTGTTCTTCATGAAGCATTCTCCACCCTTTCTGATTGAATTGCCTAAGTCCCTGGAAACCTGTCACTGCAACTTCTACTTTGTATCAAGTATGGAAATGATCAATTAAGGTTGCTGAACTAAATGTTTTTGCTTTGAGGCCTTTATTCCTTCTTTGCCAGGAGGACATGCCAGCTTCGTTGATAACTGGAAGGAGGATCAAGACAGAATTGCCAAGAGTTGGCTGAATGTAGTTATCACCAGAGGATTCAAGAATTCTAACTGCTTTGGCTGTTTGCCTCCATCTCTCTTGAACAGAATGCATAGTTAGTGCAAACGGATGATGTGCTCCAAGTAACAAAACAAAACAAAACAAAACAGGGCTGAGTATGTAGAGTCCTGATTTGAAAAGATCATCCTCACATACAATTGCTTGCTTTAGTTCATACATATTTGTATATATTATTTTCAACGACTATTACCATTGAGTAAGAATATGCATATCAAAGGGAGAGGAATGTTTAGATAATTTGTGAGATTTATCACTTTGAAATTCTCAGAGACATGATATTATTCTGAGTCTGATTTGTCTTCATGCTTACTGCTGAAAGTAATCTTAACAGATTTGTTGCATTTGTATGTATGTATGTATGTATTTATTTAGCCACCCCTGGGGCTTGAACTCAGGGTCTAGACACTAACCCTGAGCTTCATTTGTTCAAGGCTAGCACTCTACCACTTGAGCCACAGTGCCACTTCTGGCTTTTTCTGTTTATGTGGTACTAAGGAATTGAATCCAGGACTTCATGAATGCTAGGCAAGTATTCTACCACTAAGCCACATTCTCAGGGCCAGATTTGTTAATTTTACCATCTAAGTAATCAGACTATTCACTATATTTTGGAAAAATATTTCACTGTCAATACATCAGTTGTTCCAATTCTAAGACTCTGGTATCAAATGATCTCTGTGAACTTCAAAAACAACTATGATACCAAAATAACTGGCTTGGTAAATTTATTCAGTATATAAAATCTTGTGATTCTATAGTTACGAGTTGCTAATTTGGCAGTTTGTTTGAAAAGGTAGTTGAGAATAATATTCTCTGTCCAAATTCCTCTCCCAGTAGTCTATGGTAAGAAGGAAAAGATCTATAGAGGAAATTAATGAAATCCATATGTAATCCATTTGTTCAGAAATATAAAATGGTTTTGTGCTACCTTTCATCCAGTGGCATAATGTTATCTTAACACCTTTCATATGCAGTCATGTGACAAACACGAAGTTAAAATTGAATTCTTCAAATTGAAGTAATGAAATCATAGAATTCTGGGATCAGAGAATTCTATGTTTATTGATTTTGTGAAGTTTTCAAACCATATTCCATAAAGACATACGATTGGCACAGAACCATTCTGAAGAAAGGGCCAAGAATGACCTGATATTTTGTGGTGCTACCCACTTCTTTTTGACAAAAGTGTTTCAAGGGTTATCTTACTTATGTGTACATGACCTCAGATTTCATTATAATTACTTAATGGAATTTATTGTACAAATTAGTTTCATAGTGACATTTCCATGCATGCGTATGTTGTGCTTTAATTACATCCATTCTCTCAAATACACTTTCTTTCCCGCACCACCCAGAGTACTCACACCCCAATCATTTTCTCCTTCCCTAAAATCTCATCTCAACTCATCCTTTTTTGTTCTAGTAACCTTCCATAAATGAGAGACAACATGTGATACATTTCTCTCTGTGCTTGGCTAATTTGATAACCTCCAGTTCCATCCATTTTCCTGCAAGCGCATGACTTCATTCTTCTTCAAGGCTGAATAATACCCAATGGTGTATGCCACAGTCTTTTTTATTGTTATTGTAAAGGTGATGTACAGAGAGGATACAGTTACACAAGTCAGGTAATGAGTACATTTCTTTTCTAACAGTGTCACCTTTTCCCTCTTTTGCTCCTAGTATTTTCCCTCCTACCCTTCCTCCCTCACAAATTGTATAGTTCATTTTCAACATAGTGTCTAGTGAGGTTTGTTACATTCTTTTGTTTCCTCCATAATTGATGGATACCTAGGTTCTGTAGTTATCTGGAACTGTGGCACAAGGAACAAGGGGATATAAGTATATCATTCATAAGCTGATTTTATTTTTTTAAGTATATACAAAAGGGTTGTATATCTGGATTATATAGTTCTAGTCTCAGTTTTATGAAGAATGTTCATATTGTTTTTTCATAGTGGCTGTGCAAATTTACTAATACACAATACCAACAAAGATTTCTTTTTCTACATATGTTTGCCAAAATTTGTTGTGTTTTTTTATTTGTTCATTGTAACTGTCACTCAAGACTACTCAGATCAATTCAGCTGATATATTTTAAACACTACAATGTGCCAGATATTGCAATAGGTGGGTTTTGTCTTTATGCCTTTTATATATATATATATATATATATATATATATATATATATATATAGTATAATTATAAAAGAAAGCCATTCTGGCCTGATTTGAATCTTTTGTTTTAGAGATCAAGAATCTGAGAGCTTCTGCATGGCAAAGGAAATAGGTAGCAAGATCAATAGAAAGTCTTCATTATTCATACAACAGACAAAGGCCTCATATCTAAAATATACTTAGAACTCAAAAAATTAAATCCCCAAAAAACAAATCTTCAAAGAAAGAACCACCACATTAATAAGTGGGCTAAAGACTTAAAGAGAAACTTCTCTGAAAAGGAAATAAGAATGGCCAATAAACACATGAAGAAATGCTCAACTTCTCTAGCCATTAAAGAAATGAAATCAAAAACAACATTGAGATTCTACCTCACCACAGTTAGAATGGCTATAATCAAGAAATCTAGTAACAACAGATGCTGGAGGGGATGTGGAGAGAAGGGAAATCTACTGCATTGTTGGTGGGAATGTAAACTTGTTAAACCACTCTGGAAAGTAGTATGGAGGTTCCTCAAAATACTTCACCTAGAGCTCCCCTATGATCCAGCATTCCCACTTTTGGGCATTTACCCAAATAATCACAAACAAGACCACACTAAAGTTACCAGCACAACTATGTTTATCGCAGCGTTATTTCCCAAAGCTAAGATCTAGAACCAAGTCAGACAGACCCCCTCAGTATGTGTGTGTGTGTGTGTATGTGTGTGTGTGTGTATTAGAATTCTATGCCTCCAACAAAAAGAATGACATTGCCCCATTTGTTAGGAAATGGAAAGACTTGGAAAACATTATATTAAGTGAAGTAAGGTAGACCCAAAAAACATAGGTCCCATGGTTTCCCTTACTTTCAATAACTAGTATACATCTAAGATAATCTCACCAGACAAGCAGAAAAGTTCAAAAGTTATGTACATATAACCATATAAGATGATGCTAAGTGAAATAAACCCAAAGATAGGGACACAAGAAGTTTTTTCTTTGTTGCTGTTTTTGATGTATTATGTTTTTTTGTTTCTTTTTTGTTTGTTTATTGGTGGTCATAGGGCTTGAACTCGGCTTGGACGCTGTCCCTCAGCTCTTGAGCTCAAGTCTGGCGCTCTACCACTTGAGCCATGGCGCCACTTCCGGTTTTCTGGTGGTTTATTGGAGATAAGAGTCTTACTGACTTTCCTACCCGAGCTGGCTTTGAACCATGATCCTCAGATCTCAGCCTCCTGAGTAGCTAGGATTATAAGCGTGAGCCACCGGCGCCTGGCCTTTTTATTTCTTTTGTATGTTCTTTCTCCTATGGTATAATCCCTGTTTTCACTATATTTCATTCTGGTGCCCTGCATCTTGTATATACATTTTTCTAATTTGGGGAGAATAAGGGAAATAACAAAATGCTGAAACAAGGATACAAGTTGACCCATTGTGACAATGAGATGTGCAAGACACTAAGTTGAAAATGAATTTTACAACTTCAGGGGTGAGGAGGAAGGCCTTAGGGATGTGGGGAGGGAAGGGATGGTAGGGGAAAAACAAAGAACTGGGTAACAACGCTCGATAGGAAATGTACTCATTACCTTACTCATGCAACTGTTACCTCTCTGTACAGTATTTTTACAAGAAAACATTTTTTAAAAAGGGAATAAACAGTTGGTCTGTAAACAAAGCCAATGAAGTTTAAAGTATTTGCTAGATCTTATCTTCCCAAACTGTTTGTGTACCCTTGGAAAAAATCCTTCAAGACACTACACTATAGGCTGGGT